TAAAAATAGCTTTTTCACACTTTTGTCATTACTTTTGAACCATAGGAGGTCTTCATATTTAGTATGCCTACTCCACTAATTAAGTTCTTTCAAATGACACCAAGGTAAATAACCTTGTAACCTTGACTGTGACCTATATGCTAAAAATAGCTTCTTCACACTTTGTTACCCCGGGCGCATAGTATTTCACAAACACATCTTGTTCGATTTTAGCTCTACTGGTCAGAGACCAAAAAAGCTTATGCGATAGTAAGGTGTCCGTCGTCCGTCCGTCTATCTGTAAACAATTTTTCAAAACGCTACTCCTCCTACAGTTTAGGTCTGATTTCAATATAACTTGGCACACAAGTAGACTAGACTAAGATACATAATATAGTGCATCGGTTTTTGATTTCAGTGAACGGTGTTGCCATGGTTACTAGAAATAGAAATTTCTCTGAAATTCCTTTAAAATGCTACTCCTCCTACAATTATGGTATGATTTCAATATAATGTGACACTACTAGACTACACTTAGATACATAATTATACCCCCCGCAAACGAAGTTTGGGGGGGTATATAGGAATCACCTTGTCCGTCTGTCTGTCTGTCCGTCTGTCCGTCTGTCTGTGCAATTGTGTCCGGTCCATATCTTTCTTACAGAGGGACATTAGAATCTACTACTCCACACTAAGATTGCTCATAACCTAAGGGTGTGGGGAAGTTCAAGGTCACTGGAAGAAAAATTTCATAATTCGTGTCCGGTCCATATCTTTCTTATGGATAAACTTGGTAGGTTCTCATTTCACACAAAGATTGCCCATGACCCAAGGGTGTGTCATAACCTTGACCCAAGGTCATTTGGGGAAGTTCAAGGTCACTGGGAGAAAAATTTCAAAATTCATGTTTGACATATATCTTTTATGGATAAACTTGGTAGGTTCTCATTTCATACAAAGATTGCCCATGACCCAAGGGTGTGTCATGACCTTGACCCAAAGTCATTTGGGGAAGTTCAAGGTCACTGGAAGAAAAATTTCATAATTCGTGTCCTGTCTATATCTTTCTTATGGATAAACTTGGTAGGTTTTCATTTCACATAAAGATTGCCCATGACCCAAGGGTGTGTCATGACCTTGACCCAAGGTCATTTGGAGAAGTTCAAGGTCACTGGTAGAAAAATTTAATAATTCGTGTCCGGTTCATATCTTTCTTAAAGATAAACTTGGTAGGTTCTCATTTCATACAAAGATTGCCCATGACCCAAGAGTGTGTCATGACCTTGACCCAAGGTCATTTTGGGAAGTTCAAGGTCACTGGAAGAAAAATTTCATAATTCGTGTCCGGTCTATATCTTTCTTATGGATGAACTTGGTAGGTTTTCATTTCACATAAAGATTGCCCATGACCCAAGGGTGTGTCATGACTTTGACCCAAGGTCATTTGGAGAAGTTCAAGGTCACTGGTAGAAAAATTTAATAATTCGCGTCCGGTCCATATCTTTCTTAAGGATAAACTTGGTAGGTTCTCATTTCATACAAAGATTGCCCATGACCCAAGGGTGTGTCATGACCTTGACCCAAAGTCATTTGGGGAAGTTCAAGGTCACTGGAAGAAAAATTTCATAATTCGTGTCCGGTCTATATCTTATTATGGATAAACTTGGTAGGTTTTCATTTCACATAAAGATTGCCCATGACCTATAGGTGTGTCATGACCTTGACCCAAGGTCATTTGGGGAAGTTCAAGGTCACTGGAAGAAAAATTTCATAATTTGTGTCCGGTCCATATCTTTCTTATTGATAAACTTGGTAGGTTCTTATTTTACTCAAAGATTGCCTATGACCCAAGGGTGTGTCATGACCTTGACCCAAGGTCATTTGGGAAGTTCAAGGTCACTGGAAGAAAAATTTTATAATTCGTGTTTGATACATATCTTTATTATGCAAAAACTTACTTCTGAAAAACCCAGCGGGGGGTATTTTGTCCCAATTGGACAGTTCTAGTTCTATTTATGTATTCTTATGCTGATAGGCAAGCTCACCGCAGCTTGTTTTTGCTAATTTTGTATAAGTCAAATAAAACACTTTCATAGAGATGAATAATGTCATTTATTAAAATGACGGTATAAATGTGAACAATTTAACAAACAAGAAGGGGATCAGATTCACAAGCTTTGATTAGCAGTTACGTAAAATATGATAATGTCTGATCCCCCAAAACTGACTAGAAAAAAGTATCTGTAAGACAAGACAATCAAAACATCATATGAAAAAGTAAGCAAAAATATGGCACATCAAAAGAAAATAGGCCACAAGATGTGACATGCAAGTCACATCCATGTTAGATGTGACATGCAGATCAAAACATCATATGAAAAAGTAAGCAAAAAGATGGCACATCAAAACAAAATAGGCCACAAGATGTGACATGCAAGTCACATCCATGTTAGATGTGACATGCAGATCAAAACATCATATGAAAAAGTTGGCAAAAAGATGGCACATGAAAACAAAATAGGCCAGGGATAGTAGTGAAACAAATTACATAAAAACAGTATAAACAAATGGAGTCAGAACTCATCAAATATATGATTTTACATGACACATTATTACCCATTTTAAGGGGTAGGAATGCAGGGGTGGAGGAGGGTCTTCAAAATAGACGTGCCTCATGTTAGCGTGGTCAGCATGCGGGTTATCACAATAATTCTATTTATTGCTGTCTGTTGCAAAGTTTCAAATCCAAGTTCTACTTTTCCTTTGTTATATGTACAGACCAGTAGAGCTACAATCTCATCAGAGACTTCTGGTATTTTAATGTTATACATAAAGTTCAAGATGGTCATTTTAAAGGTGTATCAGTATATAATTTATGATCATGATCATAGGGTTTTTTATTCATGATAAAAATTTAAAAATAAGATTGACCATTTGAAGTAAAAAAAACATAATCATAATATTACAATATTTATCCAAAAAGAATCAATGCTTTTTTCTTTAAATTTTAAATTAAGAATTCAGTGACAAGTAGATTGGGTGGTGCAATTACTTAGAGCGGAGGTCTTACTTTGTACTAAATCGCAAAGTAAGGAGTTGATCCTTATGTTTTGGGATTAAATATCACTATGCGATATGAAGACATGTTGTGGAAAACTAATAAACCATTGAACCACGTTTTTCAGTGATGCAGCCAGGTATAAAATCTCTTGCTGATAAAGAAGTACGATTATATGGTCTATAAATTTGATAAATTTGGAAAGTCTGTAGCCCTTTTGTATGTAGGATTTGTATGGCCAAATATTCTTTTAAAAATATTCCATTGCTAATTATTATACCCCCCCCCCCCGCCAATGAAGTTTGGGGGGGGGGTTATATAGGAATCAGCTTGTCCATCTGTACGTCTGACTGTCTGTCTGTGCAAACTTGTCCGGTCCATATCTTTCTTACAGAGGAACATTAGAATCTACTACTTCACACTAAGATTGCTCATGACCTAAGGGTGTGTCATGACCTTGACCAAAGGTCATTTGGGCGAGTTCAAGGTCACTGGAAGAAAAAATTTCATAATTCGTGTTCGGTCCATATCTTTCTTATGGATAAACTTAGTAAGTTTCCCATTTCACACAAAGATTGCTCATGACCTAAGGGTGTGTCATGACCTTGACCCAAGGTCATTTGGGGAAGTTCAAGGTCACTGGAAGAAAAAAAAACTCATAATACGTGTCATGTTCATACCTTTCTTACAGATAAACTTGATAAGTTCCCATTTCAAGATTCGTCATGAGCTAAGGGTTTGTCATGACCTTGACCCAAGGTCATTTGGGGAATTTTAAGGTCACTGAAAGAAAAAAATTCATAATTTGTTCCGGGTCCATATCTTTCTTATGGATAAACTTCTAATTTCCCATTTCACAGAAAGATAGCTCATGACCTAGGCATGTGTCATGACCTTGACCAAAGATCAAATGGGGAAGTTCAAGGTCACTGAAAAAAAAAATCATAATTTGTATCCAGTCCATATCTTGCATATGGATAAACTTGGTAAATTTCTATTTCACACAAAGATTCAACATGACCTAAGGGTGTGTCATGACCTTGACTCAGGTCATCTGTGCAAGTTCAAGATCACTGAAAAAAAGTCATAATTCATGTTGGTACATATCTTTCTTAATGATAAACTTGAATCTACTATTTCACACAAAGATGGCTTATGATCTGAGGGTACCATTGAGCCAAGGTCATTTAAGTTCCAGGTCACTAAAAATAATCTTATAATTCATGTCCTGTCCATATCTTTCTTATGGGATAAATTTTGTAAGTTCCTGTTTAAAACAAAGATTGCTTTTGTCTTGAGGGTGTCTCATGACCTTGACCCAAGGTCATTTTTCCAAGTTTGAGGTCACTGAAAGAAAAAAGTTCATAATTTGTGCCTGATCCATACCTTTCTTATTGATAAACTTGGATTGTTCCTCTTTTAAACAAAGATTACTTATGACCTGAGCGTGTGTCATGACTTTGACCCAAGGTCATTTGTGCAAGTTCGAGGACACTGACAGAAAAAAAATTCATAATTCATGCCTGGTCCACATCTGTCTGATGGATAAATGTGGTGATTTCCATTTTAGACAAAGATTGCTTATGACCTGAGGTTGTGTCCTGACTTTGAACCAAGGTCATTAATGCAAGTTCAAGGTCACTGACAGAGAAAGTTAATAATTTGTGTCTGTTCTATATCTTTAGTCTTTATTTTTTTTATTAGGCTGCACCCTCGTTTCATTCATAAAAAATATATAGTGAGCAATTACATTTGCACTAAAAATGTTTTAGCATTGCTCTCTTCTCTTAGATCCATAAAATATTCATGATTTGGCACCTCTGAAAAGCCCAGCGGGGGGTATTTTGTCCCCTTTGGACTGTTCTAGTTTTAAATGAATTGATAGTATGTAGCATAAGAAGGAAAACTTTCTTATATATATCCAGTAAAAAAAACAAACTAATTTCATTGTTTTCTTTTTCAGATCGAAGAAAGCCAGACCTCATGTGTCCTAACATAACAACAATATCTATGAACTCCAAAGAGGGTATTACAGTTGATTTAAGCACCCTTATACCTGGAAATGCAACATACAGCCCTAGACAATTTATAAATGTCAATGTCTCAACACTTGATAAACCACAGCAGGTTACAGCAACTGAACGGAATATGTGGGGGACTGAGAATACTTGTACTTTTCTGATATACACTAAAGGTAAAATTTATACATTTTTGCAAAATGAAAGTATTTAAAAACTTCAACTTTGCTAAAAACAATGTAGTTAAGATAAGATTTTATCTATAGTCCATTTTTAACTCATCTAAATGAAGTATCAGGGAGCTTGTATGTAATACCCTTTGCATTTCCATTGACATAAGGTTAAATTTTTGTCCCCAGCTTTCACGAAAGCTAGGGGACATTAAATTTCATTTGTATGTCCGTCTGTCACAAAACTTAAACATTGGTCATATCTTTTGAATAAGAAGAGATAGGACTTTTATATTATACATGTATATTACCTATGGCAAGGCCTTTTTAAATACACTATGATTTTTTACCCTTTACTTGACCTTGAACTTTGACGTATTTCTAAAAAATTAAACATTACTTTGAATTTGCCATAACTTTTGAATGAGAAGAGATAGGGATTGATGTGTATTACCTGTGACAAGACCTATCTAAAAACAATATGATTTTTGTCCAAGTGACCTTGAGGTTTGATCTCCTTTTCAAAAACTTGAACCTTGGTCATAGATTCTGAATAAGAAGAGATAGGGCTTTCATAATAAACCTGTGTATTGCCTGTGACAAGACCTTTCTAAATACGTACACTATGATTTTTGTTCTTGTGACCTTGACCTTGAGGTTTAACCTACTTTTCACAATTGTTAAGTTTTCCTTATAAATTTTGATGAGAAGAGATAGGGCTTTCATATTTGACATGTGAATTACCAGCACGATATTTCCGAGCATGCAATGATTTCTGACCCTTGACCTTCATGATTGACCTTATTAGCTCACCTGAGCTGAAGGATCAAGTGAGCTTTTCTGGTCAAAATTCGTCTGTTGTCTGCCGTCGTTGTAAACTTTCTACATTTTCATCTTCTCAAGAACCACTGGGCCAATTTCAACCAAACTTGCCACAAAGTAACCTTGGGCTAAGGGGATTCAAGTTTGGTCAAATGAAGGGCCATGACCTCTTCCAAGGGGAGATGATTATGAATTAGCGAAAAATTAATGGCTATATTTTAAAAATCTTCTCAAGAACCACTGGACCAGGAAAGATGAAACTCATATGGAATTATCATAAGGTAGTGCAGATTCAAGTTTGACTAAATCAAGACCCCCGGGGGTAGGGGGGCTACAATGGCTGATCCAACTTTTACATAGGAATACATAAAAATTTAAAAAAAATTTTTCTCAAGAACAGCAGAGCCATGATTGGTGATATTTATATGGAAGCATCCTCAGGTGGTGTAGATTCAAAATTGTTCAAGTCATGACCCACAGGGTGTAGTTCGGGGCCACATTGGCCGATCAAAGTTTTAGATAAAAATATATAGGAAAATTCTTCAAAAATCTTCTTCTCAAGAATAGCAAAGCCATAATTGATCATATTTATATGGAAGCATCCTCAGGTAGTGTAGATTCAAGTTTGTTCAAATCATGACCCCTGGGGGGGGGGGGGGGTAGGATGGGGCCACAATGGCAGATCAAAGTTTTACCTAGGAATATATAGGAAAATATTTCAAGGACAGCAAAGCCATGATTGGTCATATTTTGGGGAGCCACAGTGTAAGTTCAATTGTAAAGGGCAATAAAGCCACAGGTAGTCAAAGAATTATTCAATTGCAAGCATCCGTAGTTAGTATAGTTAGTATAGATTTAAGATTGTTCAAATCATACCCTTTCCCCTTTAAGGATCGGTTGAGACCACTTTTGGGTTTAAAATATTCAATGTTAAACTGATTTCTGCAGTTTTTCCCTAGCCACAGTGCTCAGTAGAGTAATGTGGCCCATGGGCCTCAATATGCTACTGAAAGATAACTGAAAGGCCACTGAAATGCATCTGCCATTCAGTCAAGTGAATGGTAACTGAAAGATCACAGAAAAGACGGGAAAGGATCTTTTCAGTGACCTTTCAATGATCATTCAGTGGGCATTCAGTTACCATTCAGAACGGAATGGTGTAATTTCATCCTGTGATTGTAAAAACTTATTTAAGTCATTATAACAAAATAGACAATTTGTTAGACATGTGTTGATTTCAAATATATTTTTTGATAGGTCCTAAAAAGTCTTACATAGGAAATGTAAAAAAAAAAAAAAAGAAAATCAATGATAGCAGGGCCATTGGGACTCTAGTGATCTTAGTGGCCATTGCCTCTCCTGTTTACCAGTTCCACTCAAATTTTGCCCCATTGCATTACATGTACAGGGCCATGCAGAAGAGAGATTCTGAATTATTCAAATATTAGTGGGGGATTTTATGCCCTGTTCACACGACAAGTTTAATTCGCAGTAAATTAATGTGTAGTAAACTAATGCGAATCAAACTAATGCGAAATTAAATTGCATTCACATGACAGCTAATGCGAAGTAAACTAATGTGAAATAAAATTTTACTTCTACAGTCAACGTCAAAAAGCCTACCGTAAATCTGGAAACTTTTACGTCAATTTTATTTTGCGAATTCGGGTCAAAATGCTGTTGATTAATTTTTATGTTTCAAAATTTTGCAAATGACCACTGCTTTGTTTACATTTTATTATTGATAATTTATTTTTAAGAAAAATATTTGTGCGATTGCAATGAACTCGCAAATTTGCTAAAAATTTCCAGATTTACGGTATTTTGCAAATAACATCACCTTATGCAGAAGCAGATGCATTTGACATAATGTCACAGTGTCCGTACACACATTTTAGTGATTAACACAATTTTCCTTATTTTTTTCATTCAAAAAATAGCACAAGTACTTAAAGCTGACCACCGACAAGAGGCATTTGACTTAATTTTGCTATTACGCATGCCTCAAAATTTAATTGGAAGTAGCTTTGCTTAGCGACCACATGGAGCTAATGCGAAGTAATCAAATGCGCTGTAATTAATTCGAATTAAACTAATTCACATTAAATTCCCGTGCGAACGCGGTTCAATGTTTAATTTGAATTAAACTCTCCGTGTGAACAGGGCATTAATGTATAATTTAATTATATTTTGTCTTTCAGCTGGAGTTTGTTTGACTGACAGTTTACCATCTGCACTTAATGCTGAAAAGAATTGTAATAGCTCTGGTGGAAATAAAACATGCACTTACACATGTAAATCTGGATATGTTTATTTTGATGGAGCTACTTCTAAAACATACACCTGCTCAGGAATGAATATCTGGTCTCCCTCAATCAATCCAGAAGGTTGTCTTTGTAAGTAATTTAGATTTATATTAATTGTATATTTCCTATGTTTACTTATATATGGTCAAATAAAATAAAATTTAGATTTTTTCCTGACCCTCCCCTCTCAAAGCATCCCATTCTGCTAATGAAAACAAATGTCATAGTCAACGTTTTAGAGTTTCACATCATTTTTTATTAAGTCAGATGGCACTCTTTATACATGTAGCACAGGAGAATTTAACAGGTCAAGGAAAGTATTTTCTATGACGTCAGAATAAATTTACTTGCTAAATGAGCCATTAACGTGCTTTACAAACTTACCAATCAGCTAAACGAGTTGCATTATGGGTTACTACAAAACCACTACATGTACATTTCGAAAAGGCCAATTTTTCAAATCGCTGTCTTAAGGAGGCTCATTACACCACTTTTTGATGACGTACTACACAAAAAAATAAACCTCCATTGTTTCGACCGTTTTCCTCTGGGTACGAATCGTACAGGTACCTCTATAATATGACCCTGACCTTTATAAGGCTTTAAAAATAGATGAAACATGCGGAGTAATAAACTGCATTACAGTGAAAACAAAGTAACGGATTTATTATGCATACACTAAGAAGGATTGCTTTTAAGTAGAAACAAAAGAAAACAACAGTCAAATCTTCGCCAAACAAGTAATGTGCAATTTCATAGCGAAGCAATGAGCTCTATCAATCAATGACATGTTTGTATGGAGGAAATTCGAGTTAAAATCTTCAACCTTGTTGAAATTAAAAAGAAGTTATTTACTTGCACTATTTACTGTGTTCGTGTTAATTTATATATTTGCTTTTTTGATTTAAATATATACTCTGGCAATTTGAAGCTTTTTACTGAATTATAGATGTAATGTTCAAACGTTACTTAGTGTTTTAAGTCTTGGGTAATTAGGAAAGACAACTCTTGAAAGTGGACTTTTTATTCCAAATTTTTTAAAATTGGAATTTTCATTTCGTTTTAACATTCTTCATTTAATTAGTCACATGTAATTTATTGAAATACATTCCTTGTCTCTTCGGTACTCATTTTCTTAAGGCCTAAAAAAAACAATTATGTTTGTTTCCCGTAACCCGACCGACCCATTCAAATTATCCCCAGGTGGATTTTTTTTTTCTGACAAATGGCAAAACTTCGTTTGATCAATCAGCTGATTCCATTTATTAAATTAAAAAAATAGCTTGTAGCTAAATTTGAGACATAAAATATGTCAACCTAGTTTACATTTGCCCTAAATATAAAGAGTAATCATTATTGTAACAACAGTTCCCCCCCCCCCCCTACAACTTTCTGAAGTTCGTTTTCTGCTGCTATAGGCAGCCATTTTGGATGCCATGTTGGGTGTCCACTGTAAATATAACACCTGGTATTTTCAGTCTGGAATGTTTCACCATTCATAAGCAAGAATGTTACGGGAAACAAACTAATTTTTATTTTAAGCCTAATATTTTATGCACAGATTAAAAAGATAATGAGATTATTTGTTTTTTAGGTGAAAACTATTTTTTCTAATAAAATTAATATTAGGTATTATGAGGTATTTTCATCGTGTGTACTTCTCTAAAGAACGTGTCCATTATTTGACACTGAAAGTTCTGACATTCTGATAATAATAAACTTGAAATAAAACATTTCACTAAAATTAGACAAAATCTAAAAAATTCTCTAAAAAATATTTATGATAATTATACCTCCATTTGGATATTTGACATCTACGTTATAAGTGGTGCTGTAATGAAATCTAACATAAACTGTGGATGTAATGAGCCACCTTAAAGACATCATGCATTTTTCCAAGCATTTTACACACTTAATACATTATGAACATCATTATCTACTTTATACACAGAACAAAACAAGGTTTATGAGGTTCAGTTGGTTTAATATCTTACATATCAATAATACATAAAAAACACTTGAACACAAAGAAAAACATGTATAGAATAATGTAAATCTGAAAAACTCATAAATTTTTTGGCGCTCTGGGGGCTACTCATTATTTTCTCTACCTCTCATTCCTACTCTTAACTGCGATCAATAATGAAAGCCACTCAAACCTGATCCCTAAAACTCACTAGCCATAACTCTGCCTAGGGCTGATCCCTAAAGGCAAGCACAAATTACAACTCCGAGCTGATCCCAGGAGTGCATAATGCCTGGGTCTGATCCAGGCAGGCCACGAACCAGACAAACTTCTGGGCTGATCCCAAGAAGATGATGCTCAACAAGAAACATTGCCTAGGACTGATCCCTTGAGGCAAGCACAAATCGCCACACGGGGTTGATCCTAGGAGTGATAATTCCTGGGGCTGATCCCAGCAGGCCACGAGACCAGACGGACCTTTGGGCTGATCCCGAGAGGATGTAAACAAGATACATAGCTTAGGGCTGATGCCTATAGGCAAGAAGTAGAACCCACACTCCGGGTTGATCCTAGGAGAGCATCAAGCCTGGGGATGATCCCAGCAGGCCACATAACCAGACACATACCTTCGAGTTAAAACTATGGGCTAATCCCATTATTTTGATGCATAAAATATGACAATTCCTATATACATTTACTACACTATACAATCAAAGTATCCAAACAGAAATAATTTACATCATACAAAAATAAATATAAGTAATGTTGGGGGCAAATTTCCCCAGTAATGAACGCCAAATGAACGATGTAATGAGTGAAGTCCCTAAGAGTAATAATATTATAGTACAATGTAAGTTGACACTTTTGTAAAAAACATTTTTTTTACAAAAGTGTCAATGAAATCCTTATCTAACACTCGTTTTTTCTTGAGCTTCCCTTATGACTTGCGAATTAGTTCTTATGTACCTGACATAACAATCTGAAGACCATATACCTAATTCTTTAATTACATGATCTTCAACACCAGCAGCAGCTGCTGCAGTGGCTGCTCCTACTCGGAAAGAATGACCAGCAAAATTATTTACAGGATAACCAATTCGTAAGAGCAGTTGTCTTAAAAATTGTACAAGTTTTTCTCTTAGAATTGGTGCTAAATTGAATTCGCTGTCTACAAAAAGCGGTAAAATTAACAGAAATGGCAGACTTGTGAATTTCCAAATATGACATCATAATATGTACAGGTTTCAAATGTTCGTTCTTGTAAATTGTAATATCTCCACCTCTGGAGAAAGGATATGTCTTAGAAGATTTTAGTCTCAAAACAAAAGCATTTTTGTCGGATTGCATAAAAACATTATTAATTGGAACAAATTCTAAAGAGTTGGTACTTTTGCAAGTGATTTCTCCACATCTGAGAAACCCAAAATAGGCACAAGAAAACATACACTTCAACATGAGATCTACAAAAGGAAAAAAAACAAACCTTTATCTAAAACATGCAAATGTTGTTCTAACATGTCAACAGTAATAGGTAAACATTTATTATGTACATTACTTTGAGATCTTTAATTCCTCGTAAAACATATTGTAATTGGTCACAACACTGTAAAATATCTCCATAACTCGCTCTGACATAGTGAAAATGAATTCCAGCTAAGTACAATTTAATAGTGTCATGCTTGAGTTTCAATACCGATTTACAATGTGTTACAAAATAAACAAGTACAGTTTCATTTATGGGTGATAAGTCATCATCTAAAAATGAATGTTACTCCATTCATTTGCATGAATGTAATAAAAGTCTGAAAAGCGGCCCTCTAAGTCTGTTGGTAGACTGGCTTAGCGACTTGTCCCATTATAGCTCCTGTACTTCTTGCTCTAATCCATCAACATCTCGGAATGATGCAGGCAAGGAATGGGCTCTGGATCGGAGTGCGGGGCCAGAATTCGAAATCTCTCCATCTCATAACGAGATATAGAGTTCGCAATAGAGTTGTTAATGCCTTCAATATGTTTTGCATGGATGACATAATGATTACTTGCTGCATGAAACGTCAATGTACTCATCAACTTCATAATGCTATTCACTTTAGAAATGAAACAAGTGTGGCATCTTATCAACTGCATAGCTGCAGCTTCAGTTATGTTGTCATTGATGAAATAGGATACACCATTCCAAGAACGCAAAAACTTCGCCCACATGGAGAGATCAGCTCTACACAGGCTGGTTAGATGTACATGGTGATGCAGCATTTTGACGGATGTAGAGACTGATATTAAATGTGAAAATCAAATGAAAGAACATACTGGAAGGATGAATCGGCATGCAAAATTCAGATGTCCCAGGAGACTGAGTAGTTCCGTCTTTGTGCATGCTTTGCAATGGAGAAAAGATTCTACTATTTCGGAGATTCTTATAATCTTTTCTCTCGATAATCATGCTTCCATATGTATATTGTCTAAAAAGATTCCCAAGTATTCTAACTCAGTGCAAGGTCCTTCAGTTTTCTTTTCAAATAAAGGTATGCTTATTTTGTTGCAAAAAATGTCCAGAAACTTCGCATTATTTCATTCGCATCGTTGTTCTGAGGCACGATGACCAGGAAATCGTCCAGTAGATGCAAAATATTGGAGATATTGTATAAATATTCTCTGCAATCCAGCAAACTGCTGACGATAAATGGTAAAAAATCTTTGGGCTAGAACGACTACCAAAGACTTAATGTTTGAAGAAATAGTACTGCTTGTTCCATTTCATACCATGATACGGACAAAGTTTGTGACATATGGGCATTATTTTGAATGCATATGTAATGTCAATTTTTATCAGTAGAGCTCCTTTCCCCAAATTTTTAATCAGCTGAATGGCATCATCCAGGGTAACATAGCTTAGAGAGAATTCTTCTTTGTCTATCAGCTCATTCAAACTAGGATGCAGATCATCATTATGAGGTGCTGACATGTCTACAATTAGACGTTTCTTCTTGGAATACTTACTTTCAGCCACTCCAGTGGGATTATTGCGATAATGAGAAAAAGGAATTTGGTCAAAGGGTCCATAAAGATATCCTTTGCTTACTTCCACTTGAATTAATTCGGTAACCACGTCTGGTTGTAACACTGC